GAAGTAGACGCCATACTCGAGGCGAGACGCATCAGGCCTGCGCCCGGTGCGGGACAGCAGAGGATGGACGAACGTGAAGACGACAGCGAGTGTGAAGTGCAACTCTTGGAGGAGCAGAAGGAGAACGAGAGGGAGGAAGATGATGAAGGAGAAGGTGGTGTCGCCGTGCGCACCGTAGGTAAGGGCAAGGACGAAATCGTGCGGCGAAGGAAAAGTGCGCCACTTGCTCTGCACACGAACGGAACGAGCAGCCTGAAGGAAAGAGAAGAAGCAGAAGAAGATGACGAGACATCTGTACAGCAGCATCAGCAGAGCAGGGCACGAGCGAGCCTGTGCATACCGAGGATCAGCCGACGTAAGTCCAACACTTTCGATTTGTGTGAACTGCGCAGCCCCACGCCCCACCGGCGGTCCGTGTCGCAGCCTCTGCAGCACGACCTGGTACATACCTCTCTGCCCTCGCCTCTTACATTCAATTTAAAAAGATGAAAATGACGAACCTTGGCTTTTGATGGATCTCTCTACACAGAGCAAGTCGCAAGATGTGATTCGGGGCTGGTCACCTCTGCCCCTGCGCCGTAGGCAGCAACGCATCGCAACGACCAAGTCGGCCGACGACCTTCTTAGGAGCACGAACGTCCTCAGCGAGCACCCACTGAGGAAAAAGAAGAAGAAGAAGGAGAAGAGGCAAGCCCACGCCGATGAAGGAGACACCGACCCGACAAAGACGGAAGGCGAAGAGGAGAATGAACGTCAGCATCGCCAGCGGCACAGGAAGAGCAAGAAGAAGATGGACAAGAAGACGAAGAAGAAGAAGGAGAGAAAGGCCGCTACTCGTCACGTGGTCAACTCGCCGCCAGGGTTGACTTCTTCGTCGGAGGTGGACATGACCGACTGCGAGGCGGCGGGCACCAGCGCCGGCGAGAGGCACGGCCATCGGCGGCGGCCCTCCTTGGTGCCGATGCTCTTCGGCTCGCTCTCGAGCAGCTTCGGTCCCATGCGCTCGACCAGGCCCGCCTCCTCCCCGCCGCTCGCTGTCAACTCTTCGTCGACCGCGTCGTCCATGCCGCCCGCTTCGCCGCAGTTCTCGCGCCGGTCGGTGTCCTCCGTATCGAGCTCGTCGTCGTCGTCGCCGCCACCGTTGCTGGCCAGCTCGTTCTCGCTGCTCACGACCGAGC